TCCTAGATATCCACTCACAAAGGAAGGCCCCGCGTGAGACTTCCTCCATACTCAATCCAGAGGAGCCGAAAAGTGGCGAAGCTCACAGGGTTCCGAGGACCCGCTCGGAGTACCAACGTGAAGTACGGACCCCCTATCGGGAGGGGGTTCCCGCCCGAGACATCTTCGCAACTGACTTGCAGACGAGCCTCACTCTTGGTCTACGATCGCGATGCGATGGTGATAGTGATGAAAGTGGGAAGGTGGTGATGGTGAGTTCGTGCTAGTGATTTTCATTAGGAGGTGTGCGAAGCTGATCAAGATGACAATGGTGAGGATCAATGAATGCGTGTGTGTGTGAGAGAGTGTGCTGATGCGTATGACTGCTTGCGTGCGTCTGTGCGCTTATGATGATGCTGGTGGTATTGATGATGAGTGTGCAGAAGAGGTGGGAGGTCATACTGCACGGATGTGTACAGAGAAAACAAGAAACTCACTTATGAGTTGGGGAAAGATATAATATGAGGTTTGGGAACCATGGTTAGTCAAGAGATATCTGGATAGTTCTGGATCAGTCGTGAAGGTCCAGGGCGAGTCGAGGAACAGCATAAGTCGTTGAGCCCTTAACGACACAGAACAGCAGGCATATCGAACAAGGCACCGGCCCGCAAGCATGTCCCCCACGGATTTACCCCTTCTGCCCGAATGTTCCCAGGACCCGCATGCGTGGGCCAGCCCAGCCGATGTTAGCGCCATCTTGGAGCCGACCGCGGCCGTCGCGGGGCAAGGCTATCGCATAAAGTTCAATAGAAGCCTGAACACGCGAGAAAACAATAATCACCGAAGACACACAGCTACACAATCACTCGGGCTCCCTGAACGGCCTTCGTGGGCTTCTTCGAGGATTTGTTCTTGGGGGCCTCGTGGGTACCTTGTGGGCGGTCACTTGGGGCTCTCGGGCGCACCCGGATGTCTCGGGCGAAACGTTTGTTTTCACGCGCCCAGGTTGACCAGGCAGATGTCTACTATGAGGAGGTGTTGAGAACGTCTCGAGCGAGACGCTTGGTTTCAGGTGTCCAGGTTGCCCAGGCAGATGTCTCACATGAGGATGTGTTGAGAATGTCTCTCGAGCGAGACGCTTGTTTTCACGTGTCCAGGTAGCCCAGGCGGATGTCTAACATGAGGATTTGTTGAGGATCTCCCGAGCGAAACGCTTGTCGCAGTAGAGTGCATCGTAGTCCAACCCCTGCCGTCCGTGGGGCGTCCCCTGGCGCGCTGGCGCGTCTTTTGCCACGTTCTGGCGTGACGTGCCCTGGCACTTTTCCCAGCACGCCATTCGGCGTGGCACGTCGTTCCCTGGCTCGTCATCTATCGCGTGTCCTGGCTCGTCCCCAGGCGTTTCCCTTGCCCGTTCGGTGGCGCGCCCCTTGCAGCGTCCCTTGGCATGACGTCCTCTGGCCGCCCCATGGCACACGCCTTGGCACGTCCCGTGGCAGGTCCCTGACACGTCCAGGGCACGTCCCCTGATAGGTCCCCTGACACGCCCCCTGGCGCATCCCCTCCTGCGCCCCTGGCACATCCTGTGGCGCGTCCGTGAGCCTGTGCCCGTGTCGTGTCGTTCCTTTTCGGAGTTCAGTCGGATTTTGAGGTCGAGTTGATTGAACGCTCCGCACGTTTCCACTTCAACTAGCTCTGGGGCAACCACTATGTGCTCAGGCAGCTCGAGCTTGAGATCCAGATAACAAAGGAGGACTCGATCCACAACGCTATGGAGCACAATCTCGGCATGGCACATCGCAATCCAGCCCGGCGCAGCACAGCACAGCTTTTGGCACGGTACATCAAGATCGATACACTCAGCATTGCAATTGCCCGTCGCCCAGTCAGGTGTCTTGAAAACGGTGGCATGCCTCACATTTCCATATTATTCCCCGGGTTCGTGGGTCGATCATGTTTCAAGCCATACCGAGCCTCCATTTGGTGCCTTGTTGGCGCCCTCTTGGAACCTCCCTGATGCTTCCCTGGGGTCCAGCTTGACGCTCTTCTTGGGACTTCTTCGGGCCCTCTTGCAGCACTTATTGAACCATTTTGGTTCCACTCTTGCAGCTCTTCCTGATCCCATTTTGGCCTTCTTCTGGGGCCTTCCCAGGGCGCTTCGTCGGGCCGTTTCGGGCATTCGCTTTGGAGCTTTTCGAACCCTCTCCGACCTTTACGGGGGCATTTCCCCCACCTTTCTTCGGACCACTTGGGCGCCATCTTCGGGCCCTCTTGGAACGCCCCGTGGGGCCCTCCTGTGCTCCGTCCTGGGGGCCCCGAGGGGCCTTTTTGGAGCCTCTCATCGGTCCCCCTTGGGGCCCCTCTCGGGGCGCTCTTGGGATCTACCTGGACTCCCCTTTAGACATCTCCTGGGCCCCGTTGGGGCGCTCGTATCTTCTTAGAGCTCTTTGTCAGCACTTGCCTCTCCTCGGCCCGCCTTTATATTATTTATTCACCCCGTGTTCAAAGTATGTGTGGATAATTCCTCACGTTGCATGTGCGAATGCGCACGTGCACGCAGCTGCGAGATGCTCAAGGGTTGAAGCTTGCTAGAACCTAAGCGCGCGAAGCGCGCGCGTGGTTCTAGTGGACATGTGGGAATCATCTCTGGCACTGAGCTGCACCATTCGTGGATAGGAGTCCGAGACAGCTGGGCATAGCAGTTTGAGAGGTTGGCTCGATTTTGCCAAGGGTTGTGTTCCAGGAAAGGCCGCCAGCCCAGGGTTCTCTTTCAGCTTTGTCATGTGTTCCCGGTACCAAGATCGACTAGGGCCAGCGAATTTTCTCTTTGATTAATAACGAGGTCGAAGAGGGCTGGCGGATTGAAATGCGAGGATGTCCCGAGCGAAACGTTGGTTTGTGAAACTCCGAACGATGAAATAGATAGTAAAGTACACATGCTCGTTTGTTACGGATGTTTTGAGCGAAATTTCTGTTTTGCAGAATGTGTTGAGGATGTCTCGAGCGAAACGCTTGTTTTGTCTAAGTGGTTGCTCCTCTCCTGGGGCTCGAATCTCTTGCGTTTTACGCAAATGGCTATGGAGCGGGACAAGCATGAAACCACATGGGTTTCTAACGCCTCAGAGACGGGCAAGCACAAAAAACACGTGGGCTCCTAACGCCCATGAGGGGGACAAACGTGAAAACACATGGGTTCCGAACGCTCCAGAGCGGGACAAGCGGGTTCCTCACGCCCCATAGCGAGGCCAGCGTGAAAACATATGGGTTATTGACGCCCCCGAGCGGGACAAGCGTGACAACGCGCGGGTTCCTAACGCCCCAGAGCGGGACAAACGTGAAAATGCATGGGTGCCTAGTGCCCCAGAGCGGGGCAAGCGTGAAAACAAATGAGTTCTTGACGCCCCAGGTCTGGGCAAGAGTGAAAACACATTGGTTCCAAACGCCCCGGAGAGAGGGACCAACGTGAAAACGCGTGGGTGCCTAATGCTCCAGAGCGGGATCAGCGTGAAAACACCTGAGTTCTTGACGCCCCAGAGCGGGACAAGCCTGAAAACGCATGGGTTCCTGACGCCCCAGAGCGGGGCAAGCGTAAAATCACATGGGTTCCCGACGCCCAAGGGCAGAACAAGCGTGAAACCACATGGATTCTTGACGCCCCAGAGTGAGACAAGCGTGATAACATGTGGGTTCCAAACGCCGCCGAGCGGGACAAGCGTGACAACGCATGGGTTCCTAACGCTCCAGAGCGGGACAAGCGTGAACACACGAGGGTTCTCAACGCCGAAGAGCGGGACGAGCTCGAAAAAACATGGGCTCCAAACGCCCCAGAGCGGGACGACCGTGAAAATGATCCATTGGTGTTTTCTTGCCCGTTCCGTGGCGCGCGTCTTTTGCCACGTCCCTTGACACGTTCCTTGGAGCATCCCCTAGTGCGCCCCTGGCACCTCCCGTGGCGCGTCCATGCGCCCTGCGCCCCGTGTCGTCTCGTCCCGCTTCGAATTGAATCGGATTTTGAGCTCGAGTTGATTGAGCGTCCCACACGTTTCGATTGCAACCAGCCTTTGGCCAGCTATTTACTCAAGCAGCTCGAGCTTAAGATCCAGATCAGTTCGGTCAGGATTTGGATTCCAAGGGCTACTTGGCCCATAACACTGCAGAGCACAACGAAATTCATCGCGGTATGACACATCTCGTTTTAGCACGGCACAGCACAGCAGAACCTGTGGCACGGTACATCACGATCGATATTTCCAGCATTGCCGCACACATCGCGCGGCGTGTTCCTTGGCACGTCCATTGACACGTTCCGTGGCGCGTCACTTGACACGTCATTGTGCGGCGCGGCACAGTGCAGAGCAGCACAACTCAGCCCCTGGCACAGTATCATCACCATGCATATCTTCAGCATTGCCATTTCCCATCGCCCATTGTAAATTACGAGGGGTCGCGACCCTCGGGCACGTTCCCTGGCACTTTCCCTGGCGCCTCTCCTGTGCATGTCCCCTGGCATGTCCCCCGGCACGTCCCCTGGCACGTCCCCTGGCATGTCCGCTGGCACATTCCGTGGCGCGTCCCCTTTGCACGTTCCGTGACGCGTCCCCGGCACATCGCGCGGCGCGTCCCTTGGCACGTCCGTTGGCACGTTCCGTTGCGCGTGCCCTTGCACGTCAGTGTGCGGCGCGGCACAGTGCAGAGAAGCACAACACAGCTTCATGGCACAGTAGCATAAATGATGTCTTCAGTACTGCCACTGCCCATCGCCCAATTGAGGTGCGTGGAACGTTGCCAGGCCTCGCAGCTCTAAATCCCTTTCCGGGTTCGTGGGTCGACCATGTTACCGGTGGAACCCGTTCACCCAGCATCGGGGAGGCGACAGCGACAGTTTCTTAAGTGATGGGTGCACATTGCATCATAACCATCCCCGACATGCATCAGCATCGTTCTTTGTATTCGTTTGCGCTCAAGTCGCTCATTGGACCTCAGACGGCGGGATCAAGTGACGGCCAGGTGTTCCCTCGCACCCAATGTATATTGCGTATTTCGCACGGGTGGTCTTTACAATTGTGCCATCATGTTTAGCTGTCAGTCATGTGCACGAGTTGGCAGACTTGTGCTCCTTATCATTAGAGGAGGTTCACGAATGGGTTTCTGGTCTCAAAAGTCTGAATGTGCTCCCAAGTGGCTCGCCTGAAATTGTATTTGAGGAGCCCGTCGCCAGTCTTATGCGGCCTCCAGTCAAAGCGTTGAGTGAAAATGGTTACCATCACCTTGCAAAGAAGCAGAAGAACCCCGATCTCTTACGGAAGCCTAACGTGGAGACAGGGGTGACGAGGAAAGTGTTAATAAAGATCGAGAATGGAATCATGCTTCCTTGGGGGCTGGTTGTCAATATGACGCATCGGTTTGAGCTTGGATATTTCAATGAGCTGCAATGTCTTGAATACGGACCGCGGTTAGGAATTGATCGGGGTACGTGCAGGAGTCGGCCTCCCGACATGTTGTCGTACCTGAAACCTGCAAAGCCGGGCATGCAGTTCAGGTGTAATCATGCTGGCAGCATCGTCAGCGTTGCTGAATCAATGTACCACGACTTTCACCATTTTGTTGTATACACTTTACCGCGATTGCTATGGCCAGCAGTCCAGGAGATACAGTACCCTGCGGAAGTGCTCTGGAGATTCAGACGTGAGCCATACCTCAAACACTGGTTGGATGCACTTGGCCTGTCATGGAGGAGCTTCATTACGTTCTATGGGAACGCGGGCTTGCTCTTCAATACGTTATACATGCCGCTCTGGCTAGGCTTCGACCACGAACTTACAGACGATTGCCCCGCGTTCGTGCCTGAGCAAGATTTGCGCACATTGCAGCGTTCTGTCCCAGATCGTGTTTTTCAGGTTGCGACAGATTCATCACCGTATTTCTTATTACTGGACCGCCACGAAACATCTCGACGAAAATTGAAACAGTGGGTTCAAGTCTTGAATATTGCAATGGACGCAGTGAATGCTCATCCGGCAAGCGACATGCAGGTCGCAAATCTTCGGAGTGCCCCTCAAGATGATAAGCAAGCCTATGAGTTGACCATTGCGAAGAGAGCTCCACAGAAGGGCGAGTCGATCAATCCAGGGAAACAGTTATCTTTGATTCAAGTTCTAACGACGTTCGCACGGGCCCATGTGGTATTGGGTGCCCATGGGGGTTTGTGGGTGCACACAATTTTTTGCCCCAGTGGTATCAACGTGGTTGAGCTCAACACTGTCGATACCATTGAGATGTACAACTACCATATCGCATCTGTATTTGGTTTTCAATATTGGAGCCTGCTGGCAGAAGGCAACCACAATTCCGAGTGGCTTGTTGTTGACATGGAGGCTCTCAAGGATGTGGTGTCCCATATTGTCAGCCATAATGGGGAAGCTCCAGAGATAGAAGCAGCTGCGGACACCTCGGAGCCCAAGCCTCAGCTACAGAACGCGAACCAACAGGAGCAATCCGATCCTATGGAAAGGAAAAAGATGAAAGGAAGCAGGAGCGAGCGAGAGAGAGAGGCAGGCAGCAATACTGCCACAAGTGTGTTTTACATTTCTCCAGGTGTTGTAGTTGACCTTTATCCGTGTGGATTTCGCCCACTGCCGCCGGCCCCCCCGCTCTATTAGAATGGGACATGCCAGAGCTACATAGGGATGCAAAGGCGCCGTCGTGAAGCAAAGCCGGAACTTCACGCAAGGGCCAATATCGTAAGTTATTTGTTTGCACAGAAATTGGAAAACATTTTACGAATCTTGACGGTTCGCATTGCGAATTTGTTGACAATCGTGGTTTCGGGACGCCAACGTCGCGTAATCTATTAGAGATCGTAGCCTCGGGAACGCGAACGCAGCGTAATTTGCACAGGATCGTAGCTTCGAGGACGCGCATATTGGTAATTTACGCGGAATCGGGGCCTCGGTGACGCGAATATTGTATATTGTTCTCTTGTTTACGGCCTCAAGGACGCGAATATATTCTAATTTGCGGTGGCCTCGTGGATGTAGGATGGTGTATGGTTTCGAGGACGCGAATGTTGTAAAAGTTTGAATGGGTATAGAGTCGAGGACGCAATTACGGTGTAATGTACGATGGGTCGTGGCCTCGGGGACGGGCGCGAGTCTCGCATATTATGTTCACGTGTCCCAGGTGACAGGGCCTTTTTGGGCTACCCCCCTTCGCGCGGACTTCAGCAATCTAAGGTAGGAAGTAGACAGTAGGACTACACAACATGGAGGACGTGAAACTGGAACTGGAGCAGGGAGAAGCAAGCCTGAGCCGCGAAGCCTGGTGACCCCCCAAGAGGGTCGGCGAATCTCAAAGGCAGGGCGTGTTTACGTGGCCTTGTGCAGAGCAAGGTTTCAAAGGATGGCAGGTATATTTTGGACATCGAGTTGCCTGCGGCAAATCTCGCACAGTGCCAGCGAAGCATTTTGTGTAGCAGCTCATCGATCACCGCCCAAAAGGCCGTCACTTGTCACACCTCTCGTCTCGATTTCTTCATGAGGAGCCCTCATGTGGCTTACAGTCGAGACGCTGAGATAAGGACAGATTTGGTTTCGGGAGGGCCTCGATGTGCATTGGATCCTTTCGTGGTGGTCCCTCTCGCGCCCCTCGTGCACCCAGGCGCTGCTGGTGCCAAGCGCTCCTGATTCCAGCAGCCCGACTGTGTTTTGGCAGCCCTGGGGCTGTTTTGGGCGGGCACGTGCAGCCTTGCAGGTCACTCGGCGCCCCCTTCGGGATCTCCTGGGCCGTCTCGGATCGTCCAGGCGCCTCCCGCCTCGGCCGTTTGGGGTCCCTCCGGAGGCCCTCCTGGGACAGCTTGGGGCCCACTTGGGGCCGTCGATGGGCCCTCTCGGGGCTCTCAGTAAGCACGTTTGAGTTCTCGAAGACCGACCGCGCAACGATCTTCGAAGAGCTTGGACAAGGGCTCCCTCGAGGGCGCGAAGTTATTCGCGCTTCGCGCTTCGCGGTCCTCGTTCCTTCTCCTCCTCCTCCTCGTCCTCCTATTCTCCCTTTGGGAGGGCGGCGCGAGAGCGCGAAGTTATTCGCGCTTCGCGCTTCGCGCAGCGCGAAGCGCGAAGTTGGGAGCCCTAGTTGGAAAACGAGAAACATTGGAAAAACAGATGCCGTCCCGAGGGCATCTTGGAAAGCGTCTAGTGTGTGTCTTTGGGCCTCTTGGAGGCCCCTTGGGGTCTACGCGGGCGCTTCTGAGTGGCTCTTGAGTGTATATTGAGGCCACCTTGGCAGTCTGGACAGCCTCGGAGAGCGCCAGGGAGGCGTCGGGGCGCTCAGGGACCCTCGGGAAGGGGAGCCAGTGCACGCGGTAGAGTGTAGTCAGAGGGGGTGGGCGGGCCTCCGAAGATTTACAGAGAAACCTTACCAGACATTACGTGGCGTTCTACCACGCCTCCACGTGCCTGGGAGCACGGCTGCGGGTTGATTCGGCCCGTATTGGTGCTGTTGCCGCCGCATTGCTTGGAGTAAATGGCGTTCGCGAACTAGCCACTTCTGATGTTGAGCCAGCGACAGAGTGGCGGCGCAATTATGATTTCGCACCAAGCTTGGACAACAATGCGATCGTATCGATTCATTGCGCCATGGGGGAGAATCAGAGGCCAGTGTACATCCAGGACTCACACCGGCAATTCTTCGACATTCGTCACGTGGCTGGATCTTCTGGCGTGCCGCAGCCAGTATGTGGAGGCGTACGGTTTCTTCCTGGGGATTGCGTGGCATATTTGCCGAGCACGATACATGCCGATGTTCGAATATTACGGGGTGAAGGTGGAGGTCAGATGAGCGACGATTACACAGAGCGTGTGTGGACGTTTGCGGATGCCTCTGCTAATGTCGTCGATGTGCAGGATACGGAGGAATGCGAAGACGAAAGTTGCCCAGACACGTATGCAATTCGCACGCCATCTGGAAGTGTGTATCGAGCAAGGCAGGAGAAACGCAAACTTTGGGATATCCTTTCAGCTTACCATGTTGAGAAGATCTACATAATTTCACTGCAGTCGAATGCAGGATCACGAGAAAAGGCGGCGACGGTTGTGTCGCAGCTCATTGAGTTTGGCATGGACCCAGAATTCATTGATATCTTCGATGGTGTTGACGGTCAGAAGATGGGCTATGGTGGATTAGACAAGTGTTGCCGCGTGCTCCCTGGATATCAGGACAGAATTCTAAAGCGCAACATAACACTCGGTGAGGCTGGTGCCACATTGTCACACGTAAGTATCCACCAGCAGTGCTACATCCGCCTGCCTCTTTATTGTAACGATTCGTTGAATTATTGGGTTGTCTGTGGGCTATGCTGGAGCACCTGTCAGGGCGTCTAGGGGCCTTGTCGGATTGTCTTGGACACTATTGCAGCCTATGGGACTGGCCCTCCTGGGCCGTCTTTGGGCACTCCAGGTGCAAGTTTGGATCGTTCCAGACCTTTTTTACGTAATTCTTCACGCTTCGCGTATCCCCACCAGCCCATCTCAAAACAGCAACTCTTGCGAAACATGAGGCCTCGTGGTGCCTCCTGGGGACCTCTTGTGGGCCATCTGGGGAACTCTAGGGGCCATCTGGTGGACCTCTGGGGGCCATCGTGGGGGGCTTGTATGAGCGCTGCCCGTCATCCTGGTGTGACTCGTTCGGGCTCCTCGTGGTGTGAGTCGTTCGAGGCCCGCGTCGTGGTGTGAGTCGTTCGGGCTCCTCATGGTGTGAGTCGTTCGGGCGGCTCGTCCTGGTGTGAGTCGTTCGGGCCCCTCCTTGTGGTGTGAGTCGTTCGGGCTCTTCGTGGTGTGAGTCGTTCGGGCCCCTCGTCCTGGTGTGAGTCGTTCGGGCTCCTCGTGGGGCCTCTTGGGGGCCTCTTGGAGCCTCTTGGGGCCTCTTGGGGGCCTCTTGGGGGCCTCTTGGGGCCTCTTGGGGGCCTCTTGGGGGCCTCTTGGGGGCCTCTTGGGGCCTCTTGGGGGCCTCTTGGAGGCCTCTAGGGAGCCTCCTGGGGACCTCTTGGGGCCTTTTGGGGGCCTCTTGCGACCTCCTCAGAAGCGCAAATGAGCGCTACCCCTTGAGAAAGACAAAATGAGCCCAAAACCTTAGTAAAATCAATGATTTTGAGAACAAGGAAGAGGAGCGCTGCCCCCTCAGAAGGCCAAAATGGGGCCGAAACCGTAGTAAACAAAATGATTTTGGCTTCACAGAAGAGGAGATGTTTTGTTTAGCGTCCCCCCGTCGGGGCCAGAATCCTCGTGAGGGTCGTCGTTTTTTGGCCCTCCCAGGAGTCGAAAAAGACCCCTCCAACGACCCGCGGAACTCCCTCTCCAGGCCCAGGGGGAGGGGGGAGGGGGAGGGGTAAACCCCTCCCCGAAGGGGAAGAAGGGGGGTTGGGGGGTTGAGGACAGAGAGAGCTCTCTAAACCACTCACGCCCAAAGGGCTGGTGGGACTTTTGGGAGCCGTCGCAAGCACATGGAGACCGTCAGGGGCAGAAAATTATCCTGGCGAAGAACCCAAGCATTTGCAGTTATGAGTACCGTCGTTGCCGGTATCGCCTTCGGAGGATCTTCTCACGCGGCGATGAAGCCTGCGAATGGTGTGCCGACGTGGGGCGGGGCCGCCACGGGGCCGCGAAAAGTGTGAGGGGTGCGCCGCAGTGGGGCGGGGCCGCCACTGGGGCCTTCGGTGGAACTCCCGACGGGGCACCGAAACAGTGTAATGGGTGGGGAAACGCATGCGATTACAGCCGCCGGGGCCTTCGGTGCAGCTCCCCATGAGGCCACGAAGTGCTGTACTGGGTGGGGGGAACGGATGCGAACATTGCCACTGGGGCCTTCGTTGGAGCCCCTTTTGGGCCAGGAAACGCTGCCCTGGGCGGGGTTGACGCACGCATGTGCATCCATTAGGGCCTCCCGTTGAAATCCCTATGCGGCCGCGCTGTACTCGGTGGGGGCGACACATGCGGGCGGTGCCGCTGGGGCCTTCGGTGGAACTTCCTATGGGGCCACGAAGCGCTGTACTGGGTGGGGGTGGCGCATGCGGGTGGTGTCACTTGGGCTTTCGGTGGGGTTCCCTATGGGGCCACGAAACGCTGTGTTGGGTGGGTTGTGACGCATGCGGGCGGTGCCACTGAGGACTTCGCTGGGGCTCCCTATGGAGCCACGAATCGCTGTACTGGGTGGGGGATGACGCATGCGGGCGGTGCCGCTGGGGCCTTCGGTGGGGCTTCCTACGGGGCCACGAAGCGCTGTACTGGGTGGGGATGACGCATGCGGGCGGTGCCGGTGGGGCCTTTGGTAGAGCTCCCTAAGGGGCCACGAAGCGCTGTATTGGGTGGGGGTGCTGCATGCGGGCGGGGCCACTGGTGCTTTCGTTGGAGCTCCTACGGGGCCACGGAACGCTGCACTGGCGGGGGTGACGCAAGCGCGCGGTGCCATTGTGGCCTTCGGTGGAGCTCCCCATGGGGCCACGCAGCGCTGTACTGGGTGGGGGTGGCGCACGCGGGTGGTGCCATTGGGGGCTTCGGCGGAGCTCCCTATGGGGCCACGTAGCGCTGTACTCGGTGGGGGATGATGCATGCGGGCGGTGCCGCTGGGGCCTTCGGTAGAGTCCCCTATGTGGCCACGAAGCGCTGTATTGGGTGGGGTGACGCACGCGGGCGGTGCAATTATGGTTTTCGGTGGAGCTCCCTATGTGCAAGTTTCAGAGTGCAAACCTGAGCAGGTTATCCATATTACGTGACACATGTGAGCCACCGTGTGTACAGGCCTTTACGTGCGGGGTCCCAAGTGGTGTACCCTACGGGGCTCTGGAGCTATTTGGGGCCAGTTCTAGAGGCACGGGTTCCGTGATGGAACCGTTGTACATGCAAATGCGTGCGTGACCATTTGCTTGCAGGTTTTATGTCACCGCTTACCATTTTTGTCAAGCGAGCGCCCCCCCGCGTGTGCTCGCGGGCGCATGTTTGATGGAGGTTCTGTGAGCAGAACCCGGTCGGACGGCCGACCGTGAGTGGGAAAACAAGTTCGAGACGTTTTGCGTATTCCTACAACGACTTGCATGGTAGCAGCAGCGCGTGGTTGACGACACGAAGATCCACGGAGTACCGCGATGAGGGAAGAGCATCGCGGCGATAAGGTGCCAGGCTGGGGTGGAAATCCAAAGACCTGGCGGACATATCGACGGAAGGCCCTTCAGTACCAGGAGGGCACGAAGAGGCAGGACAGGTACCTGTGTGGCCCGAGGCTCGAGGCGAAGCTCACGGGCAGAGCTGAGGTTGCAGTGGAGCGCTGTAAGTCAGGCTGGCTCTCGAGAGATGACGGGGTGGAGCGACTCTTGGCGTGGCTGGAGCGCCGCTGCTCGCGCCAGGCAGTCCCGGACGTGGGACAGGAGCTGGAGACGTTTCTGATAAAGGCCAGGCGCAGGAAGCTCGAGCCCACGCAACAGTGGACGGACCGATTCGAGACCGGGTACCAGTACCTGCGACGCGCGGTGGCGCGTGCATTCGCCCACCCGACTCCGAGCCCCCCCTCGACGTCGAGCTGGGCCCCCAGACAATGGAGATGGGTCGAAGTGGAGAATGAAGAGAACGACGAGGGGCCGAGCTGGACGTGGGAGTACACTGACGGCCGAGGAGAAGAGGAGACAGGCTCGCGCATCTGGAGCGCCACCATTGACGATGGCGCCGAGGAGGAGTTGGACGATATGCCAGAGGTCTCCCCGAGCATCGCGCGTGGCTGGCTGATGCTCGCGCGCGCGGGTCTGGATTCCAGCGAGAGAGGTCGGCCATCATGACCGCCACTGGTGGCTCCTTGGAGGCCATCGCGATCCGCGACAAGCTGACCTCGACCTGGGAGGATGACGACCTGGCAGAGCGAGATGGACACGCCAGATACCCGAAGGCCTACACGGCGCAGATGGGAGATGATGACCGCACCTGGCTCGACGAGGCGGACGGGGAGCAGGGCGCGGGCAGCTTCGCAGCCGAACAGGAGCATGAGGAGTTCGAGGAGGAACCCGACATGGACGAAGCCGACGATAAGGAGATCGAGTCGCACATGGCTGCCCAGCAGGAGGAGGCCGAGGCATTGGCTGCCATCCACACGGCCCAGCGTACCCTTCGCCAGGCGCGCGAAGCGCAGGCTGACAGCAGACTGAGCCGCGGCTTCTACCGCGGGGGCCGGCCAGGGAGTCAAGCGAAAGGTGGTGGCCGAGGAGCCGGCGGAGGATTCCCAGCGGGATCTCGTCGGCCGATGGGCAGCTAGTATGGAGGCCGGGGAAAGATTCAAACCCCGAATAAGGGACAGAAGAAGTGCCCGGAGTGTGGAGGTGGTCACTGGCTCCAGGATTGCTCTGACCGCCACGATCCTCGCCTCGGCATCAAGATGGACAACGCGCACGAGGCGAGCGCAAAGATGGCCACCCGCACGAAGGAGCTGGAGTTCAACCTAGTGGCCGCCATGGTCGCCGAGCAGGAGTCTGGGGGCTCACCGAGCGAGGCGATGTTCGCCGAGCAGGCCATCTTGGAGGGCGAGGGAATCGTCGACTTAGGCTGCACGAACACCATGGGCGGCGAGCGCGCGCTCGACATCGTGGCCCGCAAGAACCTGGAGAAGTATGGCGACACGAGGCTCCGTGACGTGAATCTCCACTACCAGCCAGTGCACAGCTTCGAGAACGGGGAGAAGGAGCGCGCCTACGGACAGGTGAAGTTCGGGATCACGGGCGCGGGCAACGAGGGGGGCATCGCGATCAACGGGTTCGCGAAGGATGTCCCGATCCTCGTGTCGAAGAAGGTGCTCAAGAAGCTAGGGGCGGTCATTGACTGCGACTCGGGCGTCGCAGTGTTCGTGGAGCTAGCCCCGAATATCCCCGCGCAGCTGGAGGAGTCGCCCGATGGCGGACACTGCTACATGAGCCTGGTCGACGACATCCTGGAGAACCGAGTGCAGGACCCCGTCAAGCTACAGAACTTCAGGAAGATCAGCCAGCACGTTTCTGAGTGGGGCAGGCCAGACCCGGCCGCCTTCATGGGGCAGGTGCCGTGCGGGGCCGACCAGTCCGAGGAAGATCGAGAATGCTCACACCTGCCCCCTCCTTCCTCGTCGCCAGCACACTCCCATAGCGTCGAGCGAGGGATTCCGAACCGTCCGACACCTGGGGAGGCCGCGAGCAGATGCGGAGAGGCCAGCAGGGCATCCATAGCCGTTCTGGCTCGAGCCCGGCGAGATCTCCAGACTATGGATTGCTCGAGCCCGGCGAGATCTCCAGACTATGGATTGATCGACGCGGTGCAGCCTGCACCCCCAGAACCTACATATACTCGACCGCTGCCAGCGGATGGCAGCCAGATGT